CTGGCTAATGAGTAATGCCACCAATAAGTAAATGAGAGAGGCCACCACTAAATAAATGAGTGATTCCACCACTAAATAAATGAGTGATGCCACCACTAAATAAACGAGTGATTCCACCACTAAATAAATGAGTGATTCCACCACTAAATAAACGAGTGATTCCACCACTAAATAAATGAGTGATGCCACCACTAAGTAAATGATGATACCACCACTAAGTAAATGAGTGATGCCACCACTAAGTAAATGATGATACCACCAATATATGAATTACTTCTGGCTGCAGCAGCCAGAGGTTCAGTGGACAGGTGAACTGACCATTTAATTTGCCTTTTCAGTGAACTGCAAACATGTAAATTTTGTGTCAGACTCTACATGGCCGAAAACTTGTATATCATCCCTGTGTAACAATGCTCTGTCCCTGTCTCTCAATTGTTCTCATGCATTGTCACTGTGTCACACAGGCTTCCGATGAAGACTATAGGTGGTCAATTAAACGCACATTATGCAGACATGGTCCACTGTTATCACTATTAGGAAACCTACCCTGAGAAATGCCAGACAGCCATCCTTGGGGTGCATACAGAAATTATGTGGCTGCAAAGAGGCTGCAATAGATCAGCCACACTGAGATGTAACAAAGTAACCAGTATTTTATTAAAAGCAATAAACAGTTGTTTATGATACACAAAGAAAAGGAAATGTTAATCATTTGAGGTTTTCATCTACTTTAAGATAATCAACTAATCTCACACCATCGATTGTTCTTGCAATGCTCTGTAGGGATAAGAGATTAATTGTCAGCAGATCTGCTGAATGCTATCTTATATCTGTTGGGGGATTGAAGTTTGTCAAGTTGAAGATGTGAATGGGGAAATGGTTTATTTTTGATTTGGCATTCTCACCTTTCCGTTGGTTTTGTCGCATTGTGTATTTCTGTGGTAAATTAAATTCCTGTTTAAAAATAAAGATAAATCAGGTTGGATTGGTTCACTAACTCAGAAGGATCACATGATATAAAAGGGGCAGAGAAATCTGGAATTTGATAAACCCCTCCAGAGGTATACACATCACTATTCAGCAACTACAACTCTTCGCACTCTTAGTGAAAATCCAACAAGTCTGGGTTCTGATGACTGCAATAGAATCTGCAGGTTGTTCATACAAATTGTAGAATGTCCGTCACACAAAATAATAATTACTTGCTCCTGAATTCACTTCCAGGTGGAAAACACCCTTTTTTACAGCGCCATGTATTGGTGCAAATGTGAGCCTCCATTGCATTTACAGCCCTAATGTTCTGAAGCTGCAACATGAGCACCACCTAGCTGGTGCAATCTATGTGAAATCTCCAAATGGGAATAATGAGGAGCACAGCCTGTAGCTGGAAATCTGGAAAACATGCTGCGTCTGGGCTCAGATATTTGCTACAGGAATGTAGATTATGGGAGCCTTAGCAATGGAATCAATGCAAGGAATAGTCTTTAACCCATCCAGCAGGTCCTGGATGAAGTCCTGAAGGGTTAGACCCTCTGTAAAGCTTTATTGCTCTCTGAGCCCCTGCTAGGGAGATTTACTTGCTCTATTTGTCCTTGAAGACTAAAGCTGGCCATACATTATACAATTTTCTTTTTCAATTTTCTTTAGATTTACCTTCAATTATGTAGTGCAACGGCCTACCTGATTGCATACAAATTGAAAGTGTTTAGGTTTGACCTCATACCATATGGTTCTGGCAAATCTAAAGAAAAATTGTACAAGAAAATTGTAAAATGCATGGCCAGCCTTAAAGTGATGGAAATCCAAAACTTTATGTTTGCCAACAGAACAGGAATAAAGGGAATACTTCTAGTGGGTGAGGAGATTTCCTGTCATTTCCTATTGTTCCTCTGAGAACAGAAGCAAAGGAAAATTTCCACAATGAGACACAAACAACATTCTACACACACATCCAATGCTAAAGCTGGGTAAACACTAGTAGATTTTCTAACAAACTTTTGTACAAAAATTTCAGTACATTTGACAACTTTGTGAATGTTGGTCAAAAGTAGTTCACAATGTCATCTGCTTTTAACATTTGATTGTGGTGTGAATGGACTTTCAGAATGAAAACCACATACAAACAAAAGTGAACATCGATTTGACCCCACTAACAATTGCAAAATCGAACAAACATTCTTAAAACATAGAATTTCAAACAGAAATCTAGTAGTGTATACCCAGCATAAGAAAATGTTCTGGCAGACATACTTTAAAGGGAAAGTACATTGACCAGTTTTATTTTATTGTTAAATTTATACATTTTTGGATACTGCATGTCCTGGCATACAACACAAGGTGAAGCCTTTAGGGCTTCTCACAGGAGAGTACGCAGCATGAGCGTTTGCTTCCAGACTCTCTCTATAATTGAAAACTTGTCATTCATTCAAGTTTGTGTAACTTTCAGCTTCAGCAATTTCAGGCTTTCACCTAAGTGAGAATGTTGTGAAGCGTCCTCCAGCAGCCTCTTGAGATACTGGCATCACATATTGCAGGGGGCACCATGTCATCAGGGGGCTGGCTGAAAGATCCTAGAAGAGACAGCCGGCTCCTGATGACAAAGTTAACAAAGATTGCAGCACAGGACAGGATATGAAGTGGAAGAATGTTGGGAAACAAAAGGAAAATGCAGGATTTGCTGGTATGTTTTTCCTGCATAAAAGACTATCAAAGGTAAGTGGGGTATTGTGTATGAATTTACTTGGAATGGGTGAAGTTCCTCTACGGGTAGAAAAATAAGTTGTAGAACTTACCTTATTCCTTGCTCCCCTTCTATCCAATGCTCCGGGCTGAGGGTAGACCCTTGCTGTCCTGACATACAATACGGAACTATTGGTTCTACAGCGTATGTGATGACTTCAGTGTGTGACCACCGGCTGCAGTGCCTTATAGAAGAGGCTTCAATGGGGTGGATGCACAGCGTGGAGGAAGCATGCCAGAGAGAGGAATAAGGTAATTATTACATCTTATTCCGCTTTGTCTAGACTTAAGTTCACCTTTTCACGAAAAATGAGGTGAACTAACTTCAAATATCCTGGCCACCCTTCACATGGTGGCTGTGATGCTATGTGCTGCTAATGTAGAGGTCTGTACGCCACAATACATTGTCCTTGGGTGAGTATCCATAATGCTCTCAATGGCAAGCACTCATTGGACAGCATGACCATGTGACTGCACTGACAAATGAGAAGCATGTCTTTCTTCAAGGACACCTTACCAGAAGAAGCCTCAGATGCACCTCTTGTTGGTCTGTGTGGTCTTGCTGACCAATGAGGGCTTGCCATTGTGAGCATTATGGTGGACACTCACTCCGGGGCTGTGTATTGAGATGTACAATGTAAGTACCGCCACATCAGCAGTACAGAGCATCCCAGCCACTATGTGCAGAAGGGTCCGGAAGAATGGCCAGGATGATTAGGATTGTTTCACCTTTTCAACTTTTGTGAAAAGGTGAACGTAGCCTTTAACACGTATTCAACTTTAGCAGTGTGTGTGTGGAGGTGGGGGGGATTAAATCCAATTCATTTTGCAAAATGAAGAAACTTTGCTGAAATTTCCCACTTTTCAAAAAAGTAGTGAAGCAATGAAAATTCTGAGGTTTGTCCATCACTAAGTCTGAAGTTACACGGTGTGGTGTTTTGTGTTTGTTTTGTGTTTTTCTTTAAAGGTCCTTTTTGTAGCCAGACAACATAACTGTGAAGTTCCATTGAGAATAGTTACATTTTTCAAAACCAAATTACTAAATACATGTGCTGTTCTCTCAGTGACTGTGGATCTGCTACCTCTTCCTGTGTTTTTTTAATTTGTGAAATAACAAAAATGATTAACATCAGATCTGAATGCAGATTACAAATATTTATTCTTGAGGTCATTGCAGGGCTCTCATGGAGTTAAAGAAGACCTTCCCCTCCCCCCAACAAAGCAGACAACAGCAACACAATCTTAATCTGAAAATGAATTTATTAATATCTTAATATTTGTGACTTGCCTTGCTCTTTTAGGTCCTTCCCCGTGGATGGGAAAACTGCAGCGACAATTGAAAAAAAAAAAAAAAAAAACGTTATTGGCAGCCGCCTTCTTCTTTATTCTGTGCTGGTCCGCTGATGACATCATCTTGCACATGTGCTGTCAGAGATCTGGCGTGGTGTGTTATTAAACAAAACTTCTGCAGGGCCTTAAAGCTCCCCTCTAGGAAGGCTACGTCAATAGTGCCTTCCAGGGAGAGCTTGCCTGATTTCATACATGCACCCTAAGGGTTCTTGCCTGGTTTATTATTGACCAATAACAAGCAGTGCTAGATCTCCTACGGTGCATGCGTGCATCTTGTGTATGTGCTGTATGAGACCTGGCCATGTCTCATACTGCGCATGTGCAAGATTGGCTCATGCACCATTATAGAATGATGACAAACCATGCCAGATTCAAAAGGGCGAATGTGCAAGATCTCCCTGGAAGGCACTGGTGACATAGCCAGGGCCTCACAGCTGCTCCCTGGGAAGGTTACATCATTAGTGCCTTCCAGGGAGATGCATTCTATTGGATCTGACATGGTTTACAGTGCCTGATTATACCTGGAAGTGCAAGAAAAAAAAATGTATGTTTACAAAAAACCCTTTCATTGTACAAACAAATTAAGGATGTTTTGGGATTAGCATGCCACATGGAATTTTGTGTTGGGGAAGGGTCAGTTTTAAGGTTCAGATTGTTCTGTTTGATATGCACGTAGCGTACAGTCATTTCCAGGGGTGGACTGACAACTCATGGGGCCCCCGGGCAATAGGGGATCATGGGGTCCCTGTGTCCTTGCCCAAACTCAAAAAAGCCTATGAAAAAGGTACAGGGGCATCTCATGGGGCCCCCTACTGACCCCGGGCCCTCGGGCAGTGCCCGAGTTTCCAAATGGTCAGTCCACCCCTGGTCATTTCTTTCTCAGCTAACCTCAGTTTTAGTGAAAGATTTACCAGCAGAGTGTCAGCAAATGTGCTTAATGATTGGAGATTTCTACTGCAGGCTTGGGGTAGTGGATCCTGTCTATAAACACCAGCAAAGTACACAATAGTTTGTTGGGTTTTTTTGTTCAATCTAAGTCGAAATAAAATGAAAAGACAACCTGAAATCAGATTTCTAATTAGAAGAACAATCCAATTCCATACATTTAAAGAGAAACATTGATTTTTATTGTGATTCATAAGTTCCACTTGTATTAAATTATTTACATTGAATGACATAATAAGGAATGCAGAGCGGGTACATTATGAGGGATTCCCACCATCCCTGCACTGAGCTCCTGAGTCTACACATCTGCTGTGCTCCCATTATTGGAAGTTCCCACCATCCCTGCATTGACCTTGTAAGGTTGGGCACCTGCTGTGCCTATTATGAGGGGTTCCCACCATCCATGTGGTAAGTTCCCAGCTCTGCGCACCTGCTGTGTCCATTATGAGACGTTCCCACCATCCCTGCACTGAGCTCCTGAGTCTACACATCTGCTGTGCCCATTATTAGAAGTTCCCACAATCCCTATACTGGCTTTCCAGGTCTATACACCTGCTATGCCCATTATCATGGATTCCCACCATCCCTGCACTGAGCTCCTGAGTCTGCACATCTGCTGTGCCCATTATTAGAAGTTCTCACAATCCCTGTACTGGCTTTCCAGGTCTATACACCTGCTGTGCCCATTATGAGGGGTTCCCACATTCTCTGCACTGATTTCCCAAGGGTGAGTACATCTACTGTGCTTATTGTGAAGGTTTGCACCATCCCTGTGCTGAGTTCCCACATTATCACACCTGCTGTGCCCATTATGAGGGGTTTCCACCATCTTTGCATTGAGCTCCTGGACATCACCAGAGCACCTTGTGCTGGCTAGTGCGGAGTCCTACCTAAACATTGCATTCAGTTCCTGTCAGGCAGCCCTCGCAGTAGAGAGTCGATTCATTTTGCTGATTGCACAGATCTGATATCAGGACAATCTCTCTGCTGTAGGTATCACAAGGGATTTGGCCATCAGGAGTATTTTGGGGCCTCTCCTACTTCTAGAGTGCTGCTTCCCGGCTCTGATTGGCAGGCCTCTCCCTGGCTCTCATTGTACACGTTGGGGTCTTTGTTGGCTGTGAATGCAGAATGGGGTAACCCCCCCCCCCCCCCCCAGTGCTTCACTTTGCTCATTCCTGAACTGAAAAGTGTTGGAATGGTCAGGGCGGCTTTTCAGGGGCCGATGAATGGGCCACCTCCTCCAGTGAAGGCTCCTATAGGGTGCCGGGTCAGGGTAGCAGAACACATCTCAGGAGGGGATTAGGACCAATTAACAGCAGCGGACACAAAAGCCACTGGCAGATGAACAGGCGGTCTCCTGACCTGCACGGGGGCCGCATCCTAAATGAGAGCCTTGTGTGCGGCGGCTGAAGTGTCTGAGGAGGAGAGAGCTCTGTATAGGTGGCTGATTAACCGCTGAGTGCCTGCCATGCTGTACGGGGCCGCTTAGGGAGTACCTGGGCCACTACAGTACAGGGAGGGATGCTTTAAGATGCGAGTCACCACAGATATTTCAAGCGACGCAAAAGTAAAAAAGAGAAGGCAGGATCATTTTAGAACAAGTCACACTGCAACAATCAAGGAGGGAAACATCTATGTGACTCAGATATACACGGAGTGTTGTTGTATGTGAGGTTTTTTTCTTCTCTTTGTAGTTTAATGGTTTTCATAGGTTGAAGTTTGTTTTGTGAATTTTTGATGTTTTTTCATTTCTATTGTTCTTTGATGATCCTACTTTTTCCTTTGACTTCTGCATCTAAAAGCGGTATTAATCACCATAACCAAAAATGTAATGTACTGCAGCTTACCAATCATTAGATGTGGTGGCTGCATTAGTTTTCTTTTTTGGGCTCCCCCCCCCCCCTCTGCTTTTACTTGGTGATCTGTCCAGTAACACACCTGCTGTATTAGAGTGCCCCCACTCTGGATGAAGGAGCACAGGAAACATAGCAGACAGCTGCATTGAAAATCTGGGGGGGAGGAGAGTGTTAGATGGACTAGCAAATTTAGATACACTAACAAATTAAAGCCAAACTCCAGCTAATACTATAATCAGCATTTCTAAAATTGGTGCATGCACTACTTTGCAGACTGATAGCTAATACCAGCCCTTTACCCCAAGCATCATACACAGACGTTGAAGATGTTGAGGTAAAACCAAATGAATATTTGTTTATTAATACTCAGAAACATACTTTATACCCCTATATTTTTAGGACAATCAAGACTTTCTTTTGGTGATATTGTCTTGCAAGAACAATTTTTTGATGACATCCATATACAAAAAGTATAATAAAACTATAGTTTAAAAAAATATTGTTACTATGACGAAAAAGTATAATTTTATTTTCTATACTATTACTTTAAAAAAGCCAGGTATACAGTAGTAGAGTTTGGAACGAACGTCTGTACAAATATTCATACAAACATTAGTCTGAAAATTTTCAGTACCTTCGACAGCTTGACAAATATAATTTGAAAGTTCAAATTTTCGTTTGCTTTTAACTTTTGATTTTTGAGTTAAAGGACTTTCCCGAATTAAATTAGTTAGAAATTTGTTCGAGAAAAAAATTCTGTCCTGCTTGTCACAGTCAAAAATTAATATAGAATTGACCCCACTAAAGATTAGAAAATCGAATGAACGTTCTTAAAACAAAAGATTTCTAACAAAAATCTTTAAGTGGATATCCAGCTTAAAAAATATGATTCCAGCCATGTGTTGTAATAATGAAAACTTCTAATAAAGAATTAAAAAAAGATATATATAAAAAATATATATATATATATATATATATATATCATTTCATATAAAGCATTGCAAGGTTATTTTAAAAATAAATAAAGGCTTTCTTTTTAAAAAAATGTCAAAGGTTTTCTGAACACTTTTCAGTTTCTGACCAATAGAATATTTGGATGAGCGTAATTAAATTTTTCCTTAAAATTTTGGTGAAAATTGGGAGATTTCATTGTTAGGAGTTAATGCGGATGTAATGGCGTGCTATGGGGTTGTAAATAACTCTTGAGGTTTTTTTTTGGGGGGGGGGCGGGGTTATGTTTATATATATATATATATATATATATATATATTTTTTTTTTTATTTTAATTTTATCATAGACAGAATGAAAATCACAAATTAAAAGTAAAATAAAACATTTATGATGACAGTATATGTAATAAATATAAGTAGATTGTTATTTATGCGTACTCTTACTTAAAATGTTTAATTTTTTATTTTTCGGCAGTAAATGGAAAAAAAAAGGAAAATAAGAACACTTTGAACTATAACACAGGTATGTTTTTCTCAAAATTCGTCTTCAATCAGGTTTCACCTAATTGGTAGTGGCCCAGAAATGACTGTACAGTGAGTGAATCCATGTCTGCAGGGAGTCAGTCTGTTTGCACCCGGAGCAAATTACCTCTATAATAAAATGACCCCAGGGGTAATTATCATCTTCATCCTGCAGAAACGTGCCTGATCTTCCACAGCTCTGCATCCTCAATTCTATATGTAAAGGGGGGCTCTAAGCAACAGGAAGAATTTGTGTGATGCTGAACGTAATGCTCCCCCTATGGGGCAAATTCTTTACTGCAGGAGGCACTCCGACTAACCCCTTCACTGCCAGAGACCTTCATCATACATAAAGATCTGCTCCTCTCTCAGTTCCAGGAATTATTTAGACACTGTGGGCAGCACAGCAGCGTAGTGGTTAGTATTTCTGTCTTGCAGCACTGGGAGTCCTAGTTCAAATCCTGGGCAGGACACTGTAGGAATGAGATTTGCATGTTCTTCTTGCGCTAGCATGGTGGTGTGTTCCAGTTTCCTCTGACACCCCAAAGATATGCTCGTAGGTAAATTGGCCCTAGTATACTGTATATGCCTGTGAGATAGGGACCTTAGACTGTAAGATCCCTGATCTCAGGGACTCATGTGGATGAATGTCATGTGAAAGCATTGCATAAAGTGTCAGTGCTGTATAAATGTCTGTAGTAATAATAATAATAATGAATAATTCTTTCCATGGTGACAGTCTGACTGTTGTGTATTTTTTTTTACATACTGTATCTGTGTTTATTTAAAGATTAATGAGGTTTTTTGGTCTGTGAAAAAAAAAATACAAAAATAACAACAGCTACAAATACTGTAGCAGCTGACATTTACTATAAAGACACTTACATGTCCAGGGATCCAGCGCCTTCCTCACTCGAACCAGTTCTTCACTGGTCTTCAGGTCCCCAGCACTGGCATGTCTAGTGTGGGAATCCGGCCGTGGCTCCTTGTGGCTTCTCACTATGTACGCGCTTTGTGAATGTCCCGCAGTCTCTTGGGACCTGTGACTTGTCCCAGGAAGTTGCAGACAGGGAGTCGAGGGGAGACAATTTCATGCGGAATTGCCTAGGAGATTCCAGCACAAGTGGGAGTGAGTACCTTGCAAAACTAGGTAACCCCCCCCCCCCCTAAAAAAAAAATAAAAAAATAATAACCTCCAATATTGTAAGAAGCGGGGGAAGGATTTTTTAAAGCGGAACTTCCCGTTTAGGGTGAAGTTCTGCTTTAAGTTTATCCATTTCTTTTTAATCAGCACAAGGGACAGTGCATACATTAAGTGAGGAGTGACTGCTTACATTAAATGAGAAGTGACTGGTGACTGCTCTCTTTATTTAACACAGAAATTCACCTAAAAAGAGAAGTGCTGCTTTTCCCTCTCCTCCCCTCTCCTCTAATACTTTTGGAGTTTTTTTTTCAGTTTCTGACAGATACTTGCTCCACTCCATCCAAGTGGAAGTTCATTTCTAGCCACCAGGGGGCTCTTGGATCCATACTGCTATATCGCATCTTGTTTGCAGAGCTCAGTAGCTCAAGATAAAATCTACAGACAATAGTCAGAGCAGTGACTCCTCCTAACCCAAAGTGACTCCCCCCCTTGGAGTAATCACTCTCCCCCTTC